CCCCCCCCCCCCGTATCACAGCAGAGGCCCTGCCTGCAGCACCTGAAGTGGGTGGGGAGCCTTGGCGGCTGAGCCCCCCCCCCCACCGCACTCAGCCGGCCCCTGCCTCCCGCCTTACCTTCAGGTTGCCCTTGGTGGTGAAGGCCCTCCCGCAGATGGTGCAGCCGAAGGGCTTCTCCCCGGTGTGCGTGCGCTCGTGGATCTGCAGGGCGCTGGCCGACGAGAAGGTCTTCCCGCACGACTGGCAGTTGTGCTGCTTGGGCGCCCGGCGCGGCGGGGGGGCCAGCATGGGCGCGAGGCCGGGGCCCATCACGGCCGGGGGCCCGGGGGGCACCTGCACGGCGGCCGGCAGCGGCGGGCCCTCGCCCAGCGCGATGGCCCTGCTGTGCCCGTTCACTTCCATTTTGATGGCGGCGGGCGCGGGGCCGGCGACCAGGCTAGCGGTGGTCTGGCCGGGACCTAGGGCAAAGTCGGGGTCAAATGACTGAGGACGCGGCGCGCTCAACGCGTGCGTCAGCAAGTGCTGCTTTAAATTCCCCCTAGTGGAGCAGCCGCGGCCGCAGAGCGCACAGAGGAACGGGCGCTCCTTGGTGTGGCTGCGGTGGTGGATTTCCAACGCGCTCCGGCACGCGAAGGGCTTGCGGCACACGGCACACACGGCGCCCGGACACTTACCCCGATCTCTGCTCAGGAACAGCAGGCTAAAGGGGGCCTCCTCCTTGACGGCCGGCCGGCCGGGCTGGGCCGCCGTGAGGTCCAGCGCGCCTCCGTCTTCGGGGGCGGCGGGGGGGCTGTCCGGCCTCTCTGTCTTTAGTGGCGTTTCCTGCGGCTCCTCCTGGGCGCTGAGCCCCGGGGACTTGGAGTGCAAGCTCTCGCTGCGGCTGTTCATGGGCGACAGGGCACGCGTGGAGGACGAGGACTCCGACAGGGCCGGGCTGCCCGCGCTCCGGCTCTCCAGGTCGCCCGCGGCCGACGACGAGTCGTTGCTCAGGCGGTCGCTGTCCCCGGACCCGTTCTCCACGGACCTCAGGGCGGCCAGCTGCGGGCAGCTCGCGGCCGGGTCCATCATCTTCATCTGGTTCTCCAGGGCGGCGATGCTGGAGATGACGGAGGGGGGCGAGGGCGGGCAGGAGCCCGCGCAGGGCAGCAGCGGCTTGGGCGGGTCGCCGGCCGGCTCCCGCGGCTCGGCGTCGTCCTCCATGGAGTTCTCGTCCGCGTCGTCGTCGTAGCCGCTCAGGGCCTCGGCGGCCTTGTCGTCGTAGGGCAGCTCGGCGTCCATGGCGTCCGGGAAGCCGTCGGGCAGCGGCGTGTTGGGGATCTGGCCGCCCATGTGCATCCGGATGTGCTGCTGCAGGACCACGGCGTTGGTGAATTTCTTCTGGCAGATGGGGCAGGAGTGCTGCACCCGCAGGGGCGGCTTGGCCCGGTGCACCCCGAAGTGCGTCTTCAGGTTGCCCTTGGTGGTGAAGGCGCGCCCGCACATCTTGCACTTGAACGGCCTCTCCCCCGTGTGCGTCCGGTAATGCATCTTCAGGGCGCTCTGGCAGCTCAGCACGCGGTGGCAGATGACGCACTGGTTGGGGTCCGTCATCTTCTTGTCGATGTTCTCCACCAGCTGCTGGAGCTTCGAGGTCTCGGACGTCTGCATGGAGTCGAGCAGCCCCCCGAAGGGAAACTTGGCCTTGAACTGGTCGGAGCCGGCTGGGAGCACGGGGCTGCAGAGGCCCGAGCAGATGCTGCCGTCTGCCAGCGCGGCGGAGGCCGCCGCGGACGCGGCGGGGACGTCCCCTGCCCTGCCGTTGGTGCCGGGCAGGCTCGCGGGCTCGGGTTTGGTCAGAGAGGAGCCGCTGAGCGCTGGCTGCGGGGACTCGGCGGTCCCGGGGACGCCCGACTCGGAGCTGTTGAGGCCGGGGGACAGGGACGTGCACTCGCTGGACGCGGGCGAGGGCCGCTGCGGGGAGCGGCTCGCAGGGGTGAGGCTGGGGGAGTCCGCGTAGCCGCTGACGCCAGGGAGGGTGGGCGGGAGCTGCAGCCCGACCGACGTGGGCACCGTGGGCAACACGGGCTTGCTGTCCAGCCAGGTGGTCACCGGCTTCTCCGGAGGCAGCGACATCCCGTAGGGGATCCCGGAGCAGGTGGGCACATTGTCCAGGTACTCGGGGACGGGGTAGGGGTTCATCTGGATGTGCGGGTACTTCTCCTTGTGCCTCTGGAAGTGCACCTTCAGGTTGCCCTTGGTGGAGAAGCGGTTGCCGCAGACGTTGCACTTGAAGGGCCGCTCGCCCGTGTGGGAGCGCAGGTGGATCTGCAGGGCGCTGTCGCTCCCGAACACCTTGGCACAGAACCTGCACTTGTGCTTGAAGAACGGGTCCTCGGCGCTGGCCTTGGGCTCGAACACCGACACGTTCGGGGGCTTGCCCTTGCGGTGCTTCATGAGGGCGGACAGGGGGTCCAGCGCGTTGGCGGTGGCCGCGATGCTGACCAGCGGGTTGGGGAAGATGACGCTGCCGGCGGCGGCGGAGGTCTGAGGTAGAAGTGGGTTTGGCAGGCTGGGGGCCGAGCTGAGGGGGGGCCCCGGCCCCAGGGCGGGGGGCGTGGAGGCGTTCTGCGGCTGCGCGCTGCCGCTGGAGGCCGGGGCGGCGGGTGCGGGGGCCGCGCTGGAGGACGCCGGCCCGCCAGCCTCGGCAGGGACGGAAGGGCCGCCGCTGGGGACGTGCGGGGCGCTGGCCCCGGCGGCCGGCTGGGACAGG